TAAGAAGAAATTAAAACCCAAAAACCGATAGGATTTACATAGAACGAAAAAGACAATAATAAACTATAAACAGAGATCATTTGCTTGTTCGTCCAATAAACCTTTTGCATAGATATTTTCTTTTACCTACAAAAATATTGTCACCGGACCGCGAATGGAAAACCAAAATCGTGATTAATACCTTGGTAACATTAACAAGTTGTAGAGCATAGCCAAATGCTCAAGTTACACAATATCTATATAAATTAATTCGAAGGAATTAACAATTGATTTAAAAAGTCCCAACTTCACGCTTGTCAGTTGTTTTTTTTTCTTTGTAGGCAATTTTTCTTTTGATTAAAATTATGCGGCTGCTGCATAACACCCAGATAAATAAATACTTCCACTTGAATCATGTCCCAAACACTCCCTAACCAATAGTCGTTTCAACCGGTCGCAACTAATCCTACAGCCAGCACTTGCCGCCTTTTCAAACCAATGTATGGCATCCTCCGGATCTGCTTCACACCCGATCCCCTTTTCTAATGCGTTTGCTAGGTGAAACATTGCCGCAAGGTGATCTTGCTCGGCGGCTAAGCGGAAATAATGCAAAGCGGATTCTTCATCCTTTTCGCAACCAATACCTAACTGTAGGCAGACACCTAGTTTATCCTGTGCTCGAGCATGGTTCTGCGCGGCGGCAGCACTGTACCAACCGACCGCCGTCGATTCATCCTTTTCTACACCGATGCCATTGGCGTAGCAGAATCCAAGGTTACATTGCGCCCACGGATTTTGGGCATTGGCAGAAAGTCGATACCAGCAGACGGCCTTGCTTTCGTCTTTATCAACGCCGAGACCTTCTTCATAGCAATAACCCAATGAATTTTGTGCTAAAGCGTTACCCTGTTGAGCGGCAAGTGTAAACCATTTAACGGCCTCGAATTCATCTTTTTCTACACCAATGCCATTACGGAAGCAGTACCCAAGACTTAATTGGGCCGGTGCATGATTCTCCTCGGCTGACATAAAATACCAATAAACGGCCTCGATTTCATTGACCGAAACCCCTATGCCATTTTGGTAGCAATATCCGAGTGAATGATAAGCAAAAATGTTCCCACGTTCGGCTGACTTTAAATACCAATTCACAGCCTCAACCTCATCCTTGGGAACACCGATACCATTCTGATAGCAAAAACCGAGGTTATGTTGCGCACGGGCGTGACCCTGAAGGGCAGCTTTTCGATACCAGTAAGATCCTTCTTCGTCATCCTTAGGAACACCGATACCATTCTGATAACAATACCCTAGATTACATTCCGCCCAAGGATAACCTTGTTCTGCTGATTTACGATACCACTTGGAAGCCTCAACGGGATCTTGTTCGACGCCAATACCATCCTCATAACAATAACCCAAGGAATTTTGTGCAAACGCGTTTCCCTGTTCGGCAGACAAGCGATACCACTTCACTGCCTCGACCACATCTTTCTCAACTCCAACTCCATCTTCGTAACAATAACCAACATTATATATCGCAACGGACTCTCCTTGTTCGGCTGCCTTGCGATACCAATGCATTGCTTCTACCTCATCTTTTTGCACACCAAACCCTTCGCCAAAGCAAAAACCCAATATCCCCTGACCACGTGGGTTACCTTGTTCGGCAGACTTTTT